CTACAAGATTGTAAACAGGGAACCAGAGACATCAATTGACAAATGAGGACAACTACAGACCAAAAAAGGGAAAAAAAAACTGTAGTTACAGAACTTCTAGATGGTAGGGAAGTTGAGACAACTACAAGATAGAACTGACTGTTCTAAACTTAGGAAGAAAACTATAAATCACAGGGTAACCTCAAAGAAAAATGATAAACCTTCACATCAAAATAAAAAAGAGGACCAGCATAAATATTCAGCGAATACTAAAACAATAGCAATGAAGGAAGTGATAATATGATTAATAAACAAAAGAAGCTCAGCATAGAAAATTATATGGAACAAAGAGATCCACACAATGAAAAAGCATGTGACAAAAATGACAGCAACAAATTCATATTTGCCAATAATTATATATCTGGCAAGGGACTTATCTCTAAGATTTATAGAAAACTCCATTTCACAACAGCAAAGGTATTAACAATCCAATTGAAAAATGGGCAGAGGACCTGAATAGACACGTCACCAAGGAGGATATTCAGGAAGCCAGCTAATACACGAAGAGATGCTCACAAACAATGGCCATCAGAGAGATGCAAATCAAAACAACAATGAGATGCCATCTCACCCCAGCACTAATGGTAAGTTTCAATGAGACAGAAAATAATAAATGCTGGGAGGGATGTGGAGAAACTGAGACTCTCATACACTGCTGGTTGGGCTGTGAAGTGATACAATCACTGTGGAAAGCAGTATGGCGATTCCTTACAAAGCTGGAATTGGAGATACATTTGACCCAGCAATCCTAGAGAGGTGAGAGGCAGGACAGAAACAGATATATGCACACCCATGTTCATCACAGCACTATTTACAATAGCATATAGATAGAAATAGCCTACATGCCCATCAGTGGAAGAGTGAATGACCAAACTATGGTGCATACACACGATGGAATGCTATGCAGCACAAAGAGTGATGTAGGGTCTGCAAAACACCACATAATACGGATGAACTTGGAGGACATCATGCTGAGTGAAGTAAGTCAATCACAGAAGGACAAATATAGTATTAGTTTGTTGCTGTGGAGGGTCAAGGAAAGGTTTATATATGGAGGGAAACTTTGTTGGTTGCCAGGGGGGTGTGGAGGGGAGGGAACACTGCCAAAAAAAAAAAAGTACTGACCCATGTCACTTTAGTTTTGTGTATCTTACTATACATAAATTATGTTTCAATAAA